AATTTCAAATACTCAAACTTTTCGATAGTTTTAATTATCAGTTATTGTTTACAATTTGAAAAGAGATTTTACTCATAGATGTTTGAAGAAACAATTAATGATACTAGCAAATTATTTGAAAAACATTCCTCTGTTGTTATCTGTCTTCTACGCCGACGAGAACCAGCACGTTTCATATTTCTAATCTCTTTAAATTATTCTTAATATTTTCTTTTAAACATTTAAATATATAATTTTACTCGTACTTTTTTTTAGCCAGCATCTAATTAAGAATATCTAATTAGCTAAATTTAAAATTTTAAAATTTATAAAAGTAATGCAAAAAAATATCAGAAATTTCATATTAATTACAAATTATTTTTCCATTAATTACTTGATCTTTTCAAATAAATTTTAAAATACTAAATTTAGTTTGTCAAAAAACTTTTTCGAAAATCTAATTTAATTTTTATTAATTAAATTAGAAAAGTATTTTATCATTAGAACTTTATTATCATTGATGAAAAAGATAAAATGAAATAGACGAGATGATACCGATAAAAGCGCCTCTGAACTTGTAATTCGGTATAAATTAATCATTCATATTTATTTCTCATTTTTATATACCGATAAATTTATGAAAATTTTTTCAATTTACATAAATTAGATAATTTTTGTTATTTTATTTCATCGAAAATTATTATTATCGCTGATCAATTAATTAATGAATAAAACAAAAAAGTTTATGACTAATAATTGATTAAGCAATATTGCATAATTTAAATTAATTGAAAATTATTATTATAGCTTATCAATTAATTATCAATAAACGAAAAAAGTTTATGACTAATAATTGATTAAGCAATATTGCATAATTTAAATTAATTGAAAATTATTATTATAGCTTATCAATAAGCGAAAAAAGTTTATGACTAATAATTGATTAAGCAATATTGCATAATTTAAATTAATTGAAAATTATTATTATAGCTTATCAATTATTTATCAGTAAAAGAAAAAAGTTTATGATTATCAATTCATTAAGTAACACTGCATAATTTAAATTAATTGAAAATTATTATTATAGCTTATCAATTAATTAATCAATAAAAGAAAAAGGTTTATGATTATCAATTGATTAAGCAACACTGCATAATTTAAATTAATTAAAATAAATAGATAATTTTTGATAGATATTTCAAATTTTTGAATTAAGCAAATATTTCAAAACGATTAATTGTAATCGAAGCATTCTTGGTTATATCTTATATTTAAAAGAAAATCTGCTCAATAAATATTTTTTAAATTATAATCAGAGATTAGATATTAATAATTTAACTTATATCATATAGTTTATCAAAGATTGCTTGCAATCAATGATAAAACGAGTTCCTATAGTTTTTCGTTTTTAGAAAATTTAAATTGAAGTTGCAAATTTGCAATAATATTTTGCAATAATAATTTTCTTATCAATTAACAATTTTATTCCAGTTTTAACAATTTGTCACAAATAGGAGTAATTGTTTCAAGGTAATTAAATTAGTAGAATATATTCTTTCAGGTATTGAAATGATAGATTAAAATGTGTTGAAATAAACTTGATATGAACTTAACTTTTTTAACAATCTGCCTCAAATGGGAATGATTGTAATTGCTTCAAGGTAATTAAATTAGTAGAATATATCTTCTCAGGTGTTGAAATGATAAATTAAAGCGTATTAAAATAACCTTTACATGAATTTAACCTTATAAATTAAAGTGTGCTGAAATAAGCTTGACATAAATTTAGTCTTTTTAACAATCTGCCTCAAATGGGGATGATAGTAATTACTTCAAGGTAATTGAATTAGTAGAATGTATCTTTTTAGGTGCTGAAATGATAAATTAAAGTGTACTTAAATAAGTTTAACACGGATTTATCATTTATCTAAATATAATATCTTTTGAAAAGATATTAGTTAATAGTTATTAGTCATTCTCGTTTGCTGTCACATCATTTATCACAATATATGATAACTATAACAAATTAGAAATAATTATTACAATCAAAACCAATCGATGGTGATATTAAATAACGCTGCTCAAATCGTCTCAAATAATTGCATAAATGCTTTAATCGTCGTTCTTTACTTCGTCGATTTTGGAACCAAACCTGAAATTCGATTAATTTAAAATAACATAAATTCATTTTACCTTTTTCTTTAAATGTTATATTTTTATGAATTAAAAAAATAGTATATGAATTTTTCAAAAGTTTATAATTTATCATTCATTATTTATACCTGAATGACACGCATACTGAGGCCTGTTTCTAATGCCAGCTTAGCTGTCACATGTTTCGATGGTTTTTGAGTTGACGTAAACGTTCTATTTAATACGTCTAACTAAAATAAGCGAACTATTCAGAAATGAATTTAATTTTATTTCATTAGCAAAGAAATAATAATTCGTACAAGAAATTAGAAAACTGAAATGACATTTAATTAATTCTTGTTTTTTTATTAAGTTTTAAAAATTTTAAACGTAAATGTTACCTTGTGGAGATTACCGTGATACTATTAAATGATGGAGATTACCGTGATACTATTAAATGATGGAGATTACCGTGTTACTATTAAATGGTGTAGATTTACCTGATATTGCTTAACGGTGATACGTAGTCCTCTACACTTTAAAAAATTTGTTTCATTATTTCGTTCATATCCATATGTTTATTAAATGGTGTAGATTTACCTAATATTACTTAATGGTGGTACGTGGTCCTCTACACTTCAAAAGATTTGTTTCATCATTTCATTCATATCCATATGTTTATTAAATGGTGTAGATTTACCTGATATTGCTTAATGGTGGTACGTGGTCCTCTACGTTTTAAAAAATTTGTTTCATCATTTCGTTCATATCCATATGTTTCATGTGAATGTGTGAAAAGAGTAGTTGATAAATTCATTCCTCTTAAATTTGCTATATTTATTTCTTATCACTTGACATTTTTACTTCTTTATTTAATCACAAATGAAAATTTAGAAATTAATTAGTGCAATTAATAAATGATAAAAATTTTCCGATATAAATAAGTTTTTTTGACCAAAATAATTGAATGTAGTAATTAGTTGAATAATGTAGTAATTAGTTGAATAAAATTGAATAAAGTAAAGTTGAATAATATAAATACATTGATGATAAGTTATATGAAGGTTAAAATTGAAATTAAAATTTATCACAATGTTGAATTTTTAAAACAAGCAAGTGATTAAGGAAGAATATATAATTAAGGAATATAAATAATAAATAATAAATAGAATTAAGGAAGAATATATAAAAGAATACCTTGTAATAGCTTGAGAAAATAAACTACCATTATTTGTTTCTAATATACAAACTGTTGTAGTTGGCGTTGAAATATTAAATACTGAAATATTTTTTTTTATAATTTTAAAATATCAAATATTTGCTTTAAAGATTAGACAGTATAGATTGATCATATAACTTAATTCAATTCCTATCACTATTATCCAAATTTAATTCTACGAAATCAATTTCAAAACTTCAAATGTTAAAATATCGCAAGCAAACATACAATCATCGCTGCAAACAGAATGCGTAATGCACGCAATACTTTTAGATATTTCATTTATGCAAATTTGTTCGCCTTGTGATATTTTTCTACCACATTGAATGCATTGATGACAAGTGATATGATAAAGTATATCATTCTGAAAATAAATAAATATAAAATTATGGAAGTATCTTTTTAAATTTTGAAAATAATTTGATAATATATGATAATATGCGTTTATGTTTTCAAAAAAAAAAAGACAAAGCAAATAGAGTAATACCTTAATTTTATAAATCATTTCTGTTGGTGCAATACCTTGTTGACAGCCGGCACAACGATTTGGACTATGTCTCCTGTAAGTTGTAATTTGACGAGTTGAAAATTGAATATGCTGAGGAGAGTTTAAATTGCTTTGAAACAAACATAGACCAAAAATATTTAACTTATTTTTTAGAAATCTTTGAATGATAACTATACCAATGGTACCCGAGATTGAATTCAGAATTAAAAATATTGATTATTTTTCTAATTCAAAAAATCCATTTTAAACTATTTGCCAGATAATTTGATCGTTTAAATTTTATTTAAAATTCTAATTATCATAATTAATAAAAGTTACTTATAATAATGTAAGCAACAGTATAGATGTTCATTCCTTTCGAAACATTTATCATAGAGAAGTATGGAACAAACTGAACATCTAACACAATTTTCATGATACACCCGATCACAGATCTACAAAGAAGAAATATTTGAAAAATTTAAATTTAAGAATTCTTAGAATTAAATTAACTCTTTAAATTAATCTGATGTTATTGTTGAAGGTGAAAATCAATTGATAAATATTGGTATTTATACAAGAAATACATTGCAATATGCTGATAAGGGATAACTCTTGAAAATTTCATTAACAGAATTGTATAACTGATAAAAGGTGAAAGTGATAACAGTGGAAAATCTTCGTTCATTTGTATTCAATAGGTCAACGAAATCTTCTGAAGTAATGTGATAATTGTAGAGAATAGATGGAAGTGATCTTTTACAAGTTTAACTAAGCCAAGAGGAGTGAAACTGATAAGAGTGAAGTTGATAACATTTTATGTTAGCCAAAATTTCAAATCTTTGAAAGTTGATTCAGCTAATGTGCAAATTGATAGTAATCATTGTTAATTATCAGTGTGTGAATTTCTTGAAAAATAGATAATGCATTATCCTGTTAATTAAGTTGTATTAATTAGACGAGTTATACATAAATAAATTGGCCTCAAGCTATTCTTATAGTGAGTGATATTGAAAAGAATACCTTTAACATGAATTCATGCATAATCGGAAATTGACATTGCTTGCAGATACTCTAAAAATTGATTTTAAAGATAATGATGCATTGTCTTGTTAATTAAGCTTTCAAATTTTTTAATAGTAATTAACGAGAAGTGAAAAACAATTACAATTAATTTTAAATTGATGAAAATTACTGAAGAAATAAAATTCTCCGCAACATTCGACACATTTCAGAATGCTCACATTTTCATCATTCACATTGTAAAATGCAAAGTGCATTAAATTTTTTAAATGAGTGGAAACAGTAATTAAATAATAGACAGTACAAATTACTGTATCACTTTACTGTATTCATGGAAATAGACAACTGTCGTTATTGGTAATAATTATTGTCCTCTTTGCTACAAAACTTTATTTTAAAATGGGTGAAAACAGTAATAAAATAGTAATTAGTACAAGTTACTGTATCACTTTACTGCATTCATGGAAATAGCCAACTGTCATTATTGGCAATAATTATTGTCACCTTTGCTACAAAACTTAGCTACAGTTATTTTTATTTGAAAAAAAACGATACATAGAATTTAATTATATAAAATAATATAGAAGATTTTGACATTTCTATTACCAAAGTATTAAAAAATAAATAAATAAACAATCATAGAAAGAAATATATTAAATAAATATTTAAACAAAAAGTTAAACATTTTTTTTTTTGAATATTAAATTAAAGCTAAATTAATTTGAAATTAATTCGAATTTATCAATTTATGAAGTTTGAAATATCTGTATTTACTATAAGGGAAAAATTTTACTATCCTATTATATTTGATTATTAATTCCATTTCGATCTCAATAAGTTTTCATTTAAATTCCAATTTGTTGAATTAAAATGTCGAAAATTATAAATTTCTCTAATTGTATGGTAATTTGAATAATTCATTAAAAATATCAATTTTATCTTTTTGAATTTTTCAAAGTTTAACAATTCACTCATATATCAGTTTTTTAGTTTAGCAGAAAAATGATATGAATTTCACTGAAATTATTTAAGTAATCGAATTTTGACTTTATGAATATCAAGTATCAAATTTTAAGTAATCAAATTTTTGATTTTATAAATTTCACTGAAATGATTTAAGTAATCAACTTCTGATTTTATAAATTTCACTGAAATGATTTAAGTAATTAAATTTTGATTATTTTCTTCCCACGATCGTTATTTATATTCAAAATAAATTGAAATATCAGAAATGATTTAAATTTAACTGATTTTCTTTTTTGCTTTAAGAAAAGAATTATTTTATTCGAACTGTCAAAAACAATATAAAATTATTTACTTTACTATTTTTAGAGAAGCAAGAAAATTTTATAGAGATTTGAAAAGAAAATGAAATCAATTATTTTTTCATTATCCGCATTGTTACTACTAACGTTGTTGTTGTTGTTGCTGTTGTTGTTGTTGTTGCTGCTGTTGTCGTTATTGTCGGTATCAGAATTAATGATAGTGATATTGGAAGTGATATTTGCTAATATGGTAGTTTGGCCATTAGCTAAAGTGATGGCCGATTTCTCATCGGCGCAACAATACATCCACCGGTAATGTACTTCAAATGCATAGATTTTAAATGTAGTAATCAGTAGGTAGCTTATTACTTTGTGTCAATCAAGGAATAGCCAATCCATCACATAAATACTACGGTAAAGATATCAGGGCGGAGTTGAATTTGTTATCCATACATTTAGTATTTTTATCAAATTGTTATGTTAATTTGTTATATCGCATGAAAGATATGAAATGTTACTATCATAGCTATTCAGTGATATCTTGGGAGCTCGCTTTTCAAAACAATCAGGAAATCAGTTCGTTGATCGATATCTCTTGCCAACCTACTATGAAGTTTAATATAATGTCTATTATAAGTTTGTAATATTTGAAATAAAAATGTGGCTAACTTTATTAATGCATATTTCATTAAGTAGAATTAAATAGAAGCAAGGAAATCATTTGAAATTATCATAATGACAATTGCTATCATCGAAAAGAGACATTTGCGCATATAAATGCTACTTTTTATAAACTACTTTAAATTGTTTTAACAGTTTAAAATTAAATTCCTTAATTGAATTAATAAAATTGCTATAGTATTTCGTTAATACAAATTCTTTTTAATCTAATTTATAATCTAAAATATTTAATTTGAATGAAAGCAATCTTCTTCTTCTGTAAAGCTGCATATACTTATGATATTTGTTGTATATTAATTTCAGCAGAATGTTTTCTCTTATCACTGTTATCTTTTTTTGTTTTCAATTTAATGATAATTAAATAGGTAATTATTTATTAATTAATTGAATTTCATTAATCTCTGAATGCTTTATTTACGCAACAAACAAGCAATTTTGATAATTATTTAATTGAATTTTAAAAAAGGATAAAAACTCAAAGAATCCGAAGATTTCCTTTTCAGGAATTTAAAATAACCATGGAGAATAATTGATAGAAAGATATAATTTAACAACACCAAAAAACAGGACAGAACTAAAAAGTACTGAAATTAAAAGAATAAATGAAATTTGAAATAATTAAAGAAATTAAAGGAAAACTAAAAAGTATTGAAAACAAAAAAATAAATGAAATTTAAAATAATTAAAGTAATTAAAAGAAAATAAAGCAAAACTAAAAAGAGTGCTGAAATTAAAAGAATAAATGAAATTTAAAATAATTAAAAGAAAATAAACAAAACTAAAAAGAGTACTGAAATTAAAAGAATAGATGAAATTTAAAATAATTAAAGAAATTAAAAGAAAACAAAGCAAAACTAAAAAGAGTACTGAAATTAAAAAATCAAAAAAAATGTTTGTAAATTATTTCAAAGAATAATATATTATTGTTCTCTGAAATTAATTACAATTATTACAATTAAAAAAAAAAGCTCAAATTTAAATAATAATATTAATTTCAAAACAAAGTATGATAAAATTACATTATTTAACAATTAGATGAATTTATTTTTTATCAATTTTTCTTATTTGTTATTTTAATTAATTAATTATTTATTTATTTGTTTAATTAATTGTTATTTGTTTTACTTTTTTTTCAAATTATTTTTCTCAAATTTTCCTTTACTATTAATAATATTAAAAGAATTTTTCTTTACTATATTTATTATCAAATTTTTAGTAAATAATATATGTTAAAATTAAGAGTTGAAATATTAGTAATATATGGTAGTATTGGCTAATAATTCATTTATAATGCATATATACTTCTATTAGATATGAAATGTAAGAATGGTTAGTTTAAAATGCAACGATATCATGATTTGTCATCAAGTTTTCACGTCAATTTGTCATCAATATTACAAGTTATTCAACAACGTTCATCACCTCACATTCAAACTACTATATTCAGACAAATAGCCTAATTATTGTTCATTGAAATTATCATCAATCATACTAAAATAAATGCAAAGAATTTCTTTTTTTTTTAAAATTCATTCCTAAAATATATAAAAAGTTTTCTTTTTGTTTTTAATTTAAATATTCAGCAGATATAATTATGAAAATAATAATAAATTAAAATCATTCAGAAGTTTTTCTATTTTCTAAAATACAAATATTCAAATAAAGTAGACATAACTTTCCATTTTATGTTGATTAAAGTAAAATGCAGAGATAGTGGGAATATTTTTTTATTTTATAGTTTAAATTAAATGTTGAAAATGATGAAATGAAATATTCAAAAAAGAGAAATGAAAAAATGAAAGTTGAATGGAAGAAAGAAGGGTTTTGTCCGGTGACAGCTCCAATAAATGCGTGAATATCTTTGTAACAAGCACTTGCTGGAAATCCCGAGAAAGTTTCGAACAATTTCTTATCTGAAACGTCTGCGTATATAAACACTTTGTTCAGG